CGAAAAATTAGGTGTCTATTTACTTGTGACCACTCAGTGTAGATACTCTTTCTTTTGGCGCATTTCATTGGTTATATTTATAGGCGTGTAGAGACTTTCTAGAAATTTCACTTTTATATAACAATACTGATGCTAACACAAGTGTTTACCTACACATATATATTGTTGTTTTTTATTCTCGAAATTCTACAATTTTGGAGAATAGGCGGGAGTTTTGCAATACATATCTAACACTACAAGATATGCATGTTTTTAAATATAAACTTTATCTAAACAATGTGGATATTAAAATAAATACATAACAACAAATTCGTTACAACTTCCTCCTTAGAGAATCAAAAATTGGCGTTAGACAATTTTTAACTAAGACATAATATATATATATATGCACAACGATTTGATACACAATAGCCCAGTCCTCTGAAGCTGGCACATCTGGTGGTCTCCATTTCCTCAGGAGCACATCACTTTTGGAAAAATAACCATTTGGAACTTTCTACAATTCATCCTTTGGGAGTGCATATTTAAATAGTGAAGAAATCTGCAGATCTTTTTCTTGTTCAGTGATCAGTTTACTTTTAGTAAACGGAACTTCACCAGGTCAATCAGATCCTTCATGTCCATCGTTGCTCCTCACTGTGGAATCATCAGTGGGACAATTATCCACAAGATCCTCGTCAGATCCAAAAATTGTCTGAGACAAATCTGTAATATCATCTTCTGAATCCATGTCTGTTGTTTGTTTTTGGCTTAATTTCTTAGCCTGAGCTCGAGTCAGCACATGAGGGAAACACCTTAGTATTCTCCTCAACTACAACATCATCTTTAGATGAAACAGTGATTGGCTCATTAACTATTTTAGGTTCGGCAATAACCTTTCCCCCAGCCAAATCGTTTCCCAACAATAATGATACACCCTTAATTGGCGGAGTAGGTCTTACTCCAACCACAAAACTAGGTCTGATGCAAAATAAATATTATGAACAGGAACATTAACAAAGCCACCCTCAATACCCTGAGCAATAACATTGGCAGATCTCGAATCTAAAAGCAATACATCTTCTAACAACAATGATTGAGTCGCCCCAGTATCACGTATAATACGTATGGGTATGGGATTGCCAGTGTCACTTGTCAAAGACACAGAACTAACAGATACAAAAGGTCTAAATTCCTCTCTGATTACATCAACCTTTATATCAGTTGCCATATCAACAACACCGGGTGATCTGGTGAAACTATGTCCATGTGTGCACACAAACACACTGGGTGTTGCCTCCTTTTCTTCTTCAAACACCAACAATCGGACATAACATGACCAGGATTTTACAAAAATGGCAGACAGGCCTTGACTGTTTTAAAGAAGTTTTATGCTGACTACCAAAAGATATCAAACTAGAGGAGCTGGATTTCTTAGAAGAATCCTCAGCTTTAGTGGATTGAACAGATACGGGTTTTCGTTGAGATGGTAGGAATTTCTTTTGATGAAAGTGTTTTTATGTGTTAAAATGTAGTCATCGGAAAGAGTGGCTGCTTCCTGTAATGTTTCAACTTTTTTTTCATCTATGTATGTTTGAGGTCATCACGTGCACAACGTTTAAATTCCTCAATTAGACATAATTGTCTTAGTTTGTCGAAACTATTGCCAAAATGCATCGAATTACATCATCGATCAAAATAAACCTCTTTTTCATATGAAAATTCCATATAAGTTTGATTATCTTGTTTGTGATAACCTCGAAACTTTTGGAGATAAGCCTACGGTACTAACTCGTATGCTTATCATAATTCGTGCAGTATTCTAGAGAGATAACAGCATAAGCTTCTTGTGCTTTACCAGTAAAAACACTTTGTGATAATAATGACCATTTTTCGATGGGCCATTCCATGGTTAGGGCAACCTTCTCAAGATTTTGGAAATATTTATCAACTTCATTTTGATTGAACAGTGGTACTTTAACACATCGATTAAGTTCAAAGTTGTCATTTTGCCTTGGTCGATCAGTGTTGAGTCTAATTTCCATTTCTTTCAACCTAATTTCTTTTTCGGCTTCAAGGCAAGCTTTTTCGAACTCGAGATGTTTATTTTCGCTTTCAGCTTCAACACGAGCTTGATCCTTCTCGGCTTTGGTACAAGCTTGTTTGAGTTCCAGTTGTTTAACTTTTAGTTGGATCTCTAATTTATCTTTATCACTCAACTCCGATTGGCTAGTAGGGACACTAGAGTATTTCACTAATGCTTCCTTAGGCAACAAAAACATGATCAAATAATATTTTGATAATACGCATTTTAGTTCATTTTTTATCATTGATCTTTTAACTTCTAGTTCTAAAACTTTGGAATTTCGAGCAATTCATTTTTGTTATATTCTTCTAGTTGTTCAAGGGAAGGTGCTTGAAGAAAATCTTGATAATCAGACATAATCAAATCTTATTGGCACTGATAAATACACATTCAATTGTGATTTAAATTTTAATTTAGATCGAATTTTGTCTTCAGATCCCAGACGAGCCCCCAATTTATTATGTTACATATTACAATTTTGAATAGTCTGAAGCCGAGTTAATTGATAATTTAAATTTAGTAGTTAAATTGTACTTTGGATTTAGTAGTTAAGTAAAAGCTCATATTGTTAGTTAATGATACTTGCCAAAACGATTGATACACACAGTTTTCTTTTTTTACACAAATACGTTTTAATATACACACAACAATACAATTTACAACAACAGTTATTACAAATAGTTATTACAAACAATGATTTATAAACAAAAGTTTCACAAACTTACAAGCAATATAAAGTCTTCTTTCTAGTCTAGAACTTCCTTGATATCTTATTGAAGGTTCACGATGAGCGAGTTAATTACGAGTTGATGTAGGTACGATTCCCTCAACAGAAAGCTAGCTAGCTTTGTCCTTCGTTATTCACCAGCCACACACGCCGAATTTTCCACGTTCAAGTTGGGTAATGTTTATGTAAAAGTACTAATGTCCGATGAGAATCCACTGAAGTTAATGATTTGTAATGTTCGAACTTGTTAAATGTTCCTGTTCAAATATCTTAAGTTTTCCGATCGATAAACTTTATAACAATCACAGTTATAGTTTCTAAAGTTTATAGCAAACTAATAATAGATACTCTTTCTTTTGGTTATATTTATAGGTGTATAGAGGCTTTCTAGAAATTTCACTTTTACGAAACAAAATTCACGCTAACACAAGTGTTTATGTACACACGTATATTGTTGATTCTTACTATCGATAATATTCTATAACTTTGGAGAATAGACGGGAGTTTCGCAATACATATTTAACAGTATAAGCTATGTATGTTTCTAAATATAAATTTAATCTAAAGAAACACTGATATTAAAATAAATATAATATAACAAATTCGTTACAACTATAGTATTTTCCCCAAAACTCCTCTTCATGCTCAAACAAAACTTACCCACAATAGTGTATTTGTTGGCTCCCATTTTCAATTCATCATCGTTCTTCAGCCAGGAGACCTTTGGAGTAGGTACACCAGCCACATGACACTCCATTTCAGCCAGTTCTCCAGGAGAACGAGACTGAAGTTTAGGGATGACGTGAACCTCTGGTAGAGCTGTATATGACAAGTAGAATGGTACAAATAATGAATTTATGGCATTTTTGCACTAAGTTTAATATTCACAACGAACTGTGCTTATATAAATATATATAGTATAAACATTAATGTTAACTACCATATTATAGGTAAAATATTTACAACGCCCCTATAATCTTACACCATCATTACCGTTGTCTCTACGACACATAATCAATAACTGTCATTCTTTCAAATCTCATTTTCAACCTGATGATGACCTAAGGAGATCAAAACATTGTTATTTGTTTTGTGCTTTTCAAATAAAAGTTTTCTATACCAATATCAACCATCTGTACTATATATTTACTTCAAGTGAGTTCCTTGTCATCATGCCCTTATAAATGTCTTGTGGAGTTGAAATATAGCCAGAAAACATTTTCCCAAACAGACAAACAATTAAGCATCTCTTCTGACTCACTGAAAGTTTTGTACAGAGTATAAACATAAAATGTAGCACTGCAGCTGCTTTCCTTGATGTTCAAAAAACCTTTGACTCAGGCTGGCATGATAAGATATAAATTGGCTAAAACTGTAGTTCATAAAATACATCTCAGATTTTTTAAGTATCTGATCTGTTAAGATCAAAGGAAACATAACCGATTATGTCTGCTGGAGTGCCTCATGGTTCTGTCATCAGCATCTCCTTTATATCCTATACATTAATGATTTATACTTACCACACAAAGTACAATCACACATACAAGACTACTAGGTTGTTGATGATATTGCAGTATGGTGTTAATCAAAAAGTCTCTTACAAGCAGTCAAACATTTACAGCATCACTTCAATCAAATACAGATTTGGTGCTCCAAATGGAGAGTGATAATAAACATAGCTCATATTTTTCAACAGAACAATAGGCAGAAGATAAAAAGAAATAAAACGGGTTCAAATTAAAATCTACAAAAATACAATAAAAGTGAATGAAACAGCAAAATTCCTAAGCATTACATATGACTTTAAATTAACATGGACTAAACATGTCAACAATATCATAGTTAAAGCCATACCTCACTTGAATATCCTCACTTGAAGCTCTAATTATTTACATTTACCAATCAAAACCAAACTCTTAATGGACAAAGCACTCATGTGTTCAACCACAGGATATAAAAGTATATCTTAATACATTAGACTAAAATTACCTCAAATTACAGAGAATTCAAATAAAATAAAACATGAATAATAACTAAACCACCCAGATACACAACCTGCCAAAGAAATCCATAGGTCTACTGAGCTCTTTTATATAATTTAAAGGACAGATTTTTAAATTAGGAAAAAAATTTAAAACTAAACACAGACAACATTTGATCTCTTCCTTTCCTCTATTAAACAGTATTCCTCCAGGGTGGCAAATAATCCTCTCACCTTATGACTTGTGTTAACAGAAATTCTTGTGTTTTTGCTGAGAAAAGCGATACACACACATTTTGGATATTGTGACTATTGTAGAATCAGGAAGTTACTTACCACAGTATCCACTGGGAGTACCTAAATCCCTAAGTGACTATTGCAAATAGTGATACTGCCAACGTTTGGTACTACCCACTGCCTGGAAAGTGAGTTATAATCAAGTAACATAAATACAGGAATGACTAATGACACACAAGAAGGTCATCAAGGAACAGAAAATCACAAAAACACATCAAACAAACAGAAGTTCCAAAGCCCCCTCTCAATCTTAGATAAGGTTCCCTGTAAGATTTACTTTCATCCTACTACTAAAATGACTACTCCAAATCCTTCTCCTCATCTTATCTGTTTTTCTCTCTTACCTTTCCCTCGTAAAACTTTACTATAAGTTCCAAATTCCTCCTACCTCCTGTAAATCAAACTAAAAAACCCAGTTATCTAACCTTTCCTTGAAGGGTGAAGCGGAACTGCTACTATTGAATATCCTTTACCCCAGAATTCCTGCTTTTTTGCTTCAGTGAAGACATTGCTGATGATAGACATGTTTTTATTTATACCAAAATGTAAAATATACACGATTTTCTATACAAAATGTAAAGTACTAGTGTCATAATATATCTATTTCTGAAGTACATTTTTAAAACTAATTAACTAATCTGTAGAGGGAAGAAGTTTAATGTGTAATGCTTTTTCAGTAATACAATATGATACCGTTACATCAAGTAACCACTAGTTTTGTTTTTTTTCATTGGGTTTGTGTTTTGATACATATTAACAAAATTATAATTATAACAGATAAATAGTTTATTGATCACAATATAATAAATTTTAATTTTTTTGTTTAGTAAACACAGCATAGATTGAGTGTGTGTGACTAAACTTGGGGCATGATGGTGTGGGAAAAAAACATACATGGCCTAGCTTACTAATGAATGAACATTTGCTGTAAATTTCTTATCAATGCTATACGTGTAGCTACCAGTTTGGCCACCAATTTTTATTTTATTCCTCTAAGTTGCACTGTCAATCCTATTTTGGCCACATTTTTTCACACCTAAGGTGATTTTGATTAGATATCATGACTTTTTCAATATACACCAACAAACCACAGCAAGTAAGAAAGTGACACTCGATAGAAACCAACATTAATTAGAGGATCACAACCTTATTATTCAGAACAGACCCAACTTTACAGAACCAACCAGATTCTTTAAAATATATGGTGGTAGTTTTTCCTCTCTAAAACATTGTTAATAACTTCTTTTATAGTAACACCATGGAATCTAGATTAACAGTTTCTTGTCATCACCTACACACACTGAGTATACCTATATTAAGTACCATTATTTAAGCTAATTGCTAAAGCTAATATCATGTGATGCTAAATGCTCTTTAATTAGGAGAATTTCCTAAAATTTAGAAAATTTGTGCTTAATAGTTGGCAATGAATAATAAAACCATCCACCCGTATGATTCTTTTGAAGATTTGAGTTAGAAACTGTTAATCTAGTTTGCTTGGCCTAACCAATACTTTTATGTATCTGCACATGCTTTCACCCTATAGTTTTGTTGCTCTAAATTAGCCATATTCATTCCAAATGAAAGAAAACTTAGGTGAAGCTGTAGTAAAAATTTTAAGACTAATAGCTCATGTGATGTTTTGCGTAGGCATGAGCAAAATTTTTGAACAAAATTGAGCAGTTATATGTGGGCTAAATTTGACACCTAATTGTAAGATGTAATGATATATTGGTGTACCAAATTTGAAAAAAATCCATAAAAGTTTGCTCTTCCATCAAATAAAGTTTCTGTACTTTTGATGCAAAGAAGAAAAAAAAAAGAAAGAACTTCAATCAAAATTGGAGGTTTTATATCTGGTAAATTTCTTAATGGATTGCCTTTGAATTTGGTATGTGAACTAATGGTCCAGTAGAGCACATCCACTGAAAATGTGTTGTTATGACAGTGGAAGTCACGTGACGCTGGTAACACGTCATGAGTTTCTAGAAGGATCATAACTGTTCCTGGCAACTCTAGTCTTTTCTAGGCGCCCTCTATTTTAGTATATAAGCCCGGCAAATAAAGCGGAGATAATAACTGCAGATAGACAGATATAGAAACAGATAATTGAGTCAAGCGAGCGTTAGTGACCATAAGTAATGTGTGTGAATCATTGTGAATTGTAGCATGTGTTTAAGTTAAAGTGACTGTGGAAATTAAATGCATTACAAAGTTTGTAACGAGAAAGAATAAACTAGTTTTAATCAAGAAGGGACTTGTATTGCTGAAGTCACTCGGAAAGAATTTTTACCGGAAATTATCAAACAAGCAGATACATAACAGTGTGATGGTTTGGAGTAACAGAGTCTGAGCTACAGAAAGTGGAAAATTGCTAAACTATCCCTCCTGTTATTAACACACAATGGGTCTTGCAGGTTGTTTTGGCCATGTGACACACTACTTTGTGTCTTGATACATGTCTAATTATGTTGTAAAAATGGCATTGTAAATAACAAATTATATGTACTGTGTTTAGTTTTTCCGTTTTGATATTTTAACTTATTTATATCTACATTGACTAATTTTTTCAGCACAACAATCTTTCTCCAAACTATTAGAAAAGTTTAGAAAAAGTTATCATGCATTTATTTTGAACCTCTTACTTTGGACATGCAGTACATGAGTCTGGAAAATGTCTCTGTTCCTTTGAGCATAGCATGTGTAATTTCCTCCATGTACTAGTTGAACATTGGTCAAGTACAGGGAACCATCCACAAAAACCTATGAAGTACACAAGTTAATTTTTTTTAATATTTTTAATTTGGAGGTGAAAGTTATGTATAATTATAGTTTATTTTATGTAAATGAATATATATAAACATGACATACTTCTATCTAAATATTAAAATATGACAAATATCATAAGCATTTGCAAAGTACTTCATAAAATAACTGCACATCTAACTTGAAGCATACATATCCAAGAGAACTGTTCAATAATGTAACAGATTCAAATTTTAAGTATTTCGCTATTTTAGAAACAGTGCAATGACATGAAAATTATGTCATGTTTTACTACAACACAACTTTCATGTTGTCGTTTTTTTGTTTGGATCATATCATCTTGAACATTTGGTAAATGGAAACGAGATCAAACAAGATGATTTCATTAACTCTGAGCTGGTTAAGACAAAATTGGGAAGTATAAAAAAGCATAAGGCTCCTGGGCCAGATAATATTTCCCCAAGGGTTTTAAAGAAGGTTAAAGATTGGATATGTGAGTCACTTGCTACTATTTTTTGTCAGTCCTTGAATAGTGGGAAGGTACAAAAAGATTGGAAGTTAGCTAATATAACTGTTCTTGTCCCAGTAATTATAGACCTATTAGTCTTACATCAGTTGTGGAAAAAGTTTGGAAAGTCTGATAAAAGATGCTATGCAAAGTTATTTAACAAAGTTTAGAATTTTATTGGATAGTCAACATAGTTTCAGTAAGGGAAAATCTTGCCTTACAAATCTTTTGACATTCTTTGAAAAGGTTACTACTTATGCAGATGAGGGTACGAGTGTAGATTTGATGTATCTAGATTTTCAGAAAGCATTTGACAAGGTGCCACATATAAGGCTTGTAAAAACATGTATCTCTATAGGTGTGGGGGATAAGTAAGTATATTAGATAGCAGAGTAGCTAGATGGAAGAAAGCAGAGGATTGTTACAAATGGAGTTCAGTCACAAGTGGGGTACCTCAGGGTTCAGTCTTAGGACCTTTGCTCTTTTGATTTACATCAATGTCATAGATGAATGAATAGTCAATAAATTAATTAAATTTGCAGATGACGTTAAGATCTTTGGTGTTGCTAGCTTTGAAAATGATGATACTGATTTACAAGAGGATTTAGATCATTTAGTGAGTTGGGCAAATAAATGGAAAATGGCTTTTGATTATAATAAATGCAAGATGATGCATGTGGGTTATCATAATTTGAATTGTAAGTATAATTTGGATGGGAATAATCTTAACAGTGTTATGAAGGAAAGGATCTTGTTGTAGTGGTTGATCAGTCTCTAAAGCCATCCAAGCAGTGTGCTGTTGCTAGTGATAGGGCAAATAGGATTTTAGGTTGTATCTACAGAAATATTGAATACAAGTCTAAAAAAGCTATAATTTCATTGTATAGGTCATTGGTTAGGCCGCATTTGGAGTATTGTCTTCAGTCTTGGGCTCCTTACCTTAGGAAAGACATTGAATTGTTGGAAAGGGTTTAGAGAAGGGTTATTGGAGGGGATGGAGGGGTTGTCATATATGGAGAGGCTGACATCTCTCAAATTGTTTTCTCTTGAAAAAAGAAGAGTTAGGGGGATTTGATTGAGATGTTTAAGATTGTAAAAGGAATTGATAGTATTGATGCATCATATTATTTCATGATTAACAGTGAGAAAAGTAGGGCTAGGGGACACAAATATATATTTTGGCAAGGAAGGTATCATCTTCAGCCAAGACAGTTTCATTTTTCTAACAGGGTGGTTAGCCTTTGGAATGTGTTGTCTTAGGATGCTGTAGAGGCAATAAATTTAAGTGAGTTAAAGAAAATGCTTGATAAGTATATGAATGATAAGGGCTGGCTTTAAAATTGTTTCTTAAATATTTTAGTTTAGTTTAGAGGATTGAACAGCCAAGATGGACCAATAGATCCCATGTTGTTCCAAACCATTATGTTACCAACTTCATACACTCAGAAACAACATCATTCCTTTCTATGGTTTTAATGTACTAGAGTGTAATCAGAGATTAATACAACCTGTTTGACAATTTTTATTTAGTTTATCTAAGGTTTGAAGGTATATTGTATATTACAGGCTATAATATATAAATATATATATACATATATATAAATAGCTTTGAATTTTTCTGCCTTGATCATAATTACTAAAAAAATCTTCATAAACTGTTTACTTTACATTGACTTATTATAAATAGGAGATAGGTAAATAGCTATTGAAAAAACGGACTAGTGACAATAAATGCATTACATGTATGTAAAGTTATGGAAAATTAATATTTCCAAATTAAATGTAGCTGACAAGCTAAGTATCCAATACACTGATTTTTTAATTAATACCTTAAAATATCAATTTGTAATCTATGTATATTAAAGAAATTAATGAAAGTGTAATGTTTGTTATATTAGGTTGTTTGTAAACTCATATGGGCTATTTGTCCTTTATTTAGCCTGGTATGTGGATATAAAGTAATTTCCATGACATTAAAACATAAAAATACGTTTAATTCTATTAATACATTCAATGTCTTAATTTGTTTTATTGCTTCATAAAATGCTTTTCTTTCTAATTTTCACATAGGTGATTTAGGAGTTTTATAACACATATTTATATACTCATCCATATGAGGCTAACAGACATGTTTTAATTATATATATGATTATTTTAAACATTTTCCCACAACTATATGGAATGCAAATATAATCAATTCCATTTAATAATGATATTCCATTGCAAATATGATTTAATGATTACAAAAAAGTTTAAATGACCATTTATTTATGTGTGATATAATATCAGAATAACACAAAAAATAATAAAAATGGCATCATTCTTTATTATCCCAGTACAGGTTTCAAGTTAGAAGAATGTATGATAACATTTCAACTAAACATTTGTTGTATACCATTTCTGCCAAGGCATTTTTGTTCAACACTAGATAACTTAAGTAGTGTTTCAGTTATGATTTTGTATGTTATACCCCAACCATCCTGATAAGCTCTACTGATATTGAGAAAAGGCCCTTGTTAGCAGTGGGACATAACAAACAAGACAATAGCTCAAGAGGTATTATGCACTTTTACTTATAGTAAGAATATTCTAATATCACACATGTTACAACTAAATGCCAAGCTCCACCAGTGAAGTCACTGATTCTGCAGCCTGACCTTTATTTCATCTTCATTGAGTATTGAGAGATCAAGATTATTCCTTTCCCACACAATAGGAGGGGGTGGGGTTCCACTGACATCACACTTAATCTCCACATTATCTCCAACACGAGCCATTACATGGTTGACTTCAAGTGATTTATCCAAAGATACAACAGAGACACCTAGTAACAAAAGTAAATACATTCATTACTAGTGCTGTACAACAGTACAGTATTTTCCAATTTTATTGTTATTATCTTTAAAAATGTTTGTCAGATCTGCAACATATTCCCAATTTTTATGATAATCTGTTCACTTATATATGAAGATTTTTTTCTTTATTAATGAGCCTAATGTTTTCTCAGTTTTTATGGGTTTTATTTATCATGAGCTCCTCAAATTAATGTTTGTCTAAGAAGTGCAATTTTAAATTTATATATTTTTTTTATCTTTTGTCAAATAGTATAGGAAAGCTAAAAGTTCTCTCCAAGAAGAAGAATTACTATGATATTATACTTTATGTTACCACATCTTTCAAAGGTACATATTTTTATATATTCATAACATCTTTATTTTTTGCTTTCACTAATGAATGTTTTTTTTTATAGTTTAATGTTAATTTTATTGAATAAACATTCTGCCTCATAGAATTTACTCAGAGAAGAAATGTTTAAAGCTTTTGTTATTGATCATTATTAGATACTGGAAAAAGAAAATTTGAGTTTATCTTTTAGTTCATAAATCAAAGCAACTGGTAGTATTATTTTTGTGTTTGTGGTTTAGGGTCACCTTTATTGTATAAGAAATAAAAGTTTAAATACACTTCAATCCTCAAGTATTGAGTCATTTTCTGCATCATATTATATTAAAAATATATAATTTAAAAATGTGCATAACCATTTGTAAGTGCATTTACTTAATGGTTTCTAAGGGTTAGTGAGTAATGGTTAAAGGGTTTGAAACTGTACAAATGTTTACCTCTCACATATAGAAGCTAACTAGGAATACTATAAAAACATATGAGTGAAAGTAAGGAATGTATAACAATGTGTCACCATGCTATATCTGCTTTAGCCAATGCCAACCTTCATCCAACACTGAGGCTCATCAGGTCAACTAGGAATCAACAGACACAGTAATGGTTGAGATGCTATTTATCAAATTTCATGAACCACAACTATTATGGTGTATACTAGATTGATATGGTAAAGTGTAGAGAACATTAGCATATGTCAAAGGTTTTTATTAAGTAACAACATATTTATGATTAGAAAATATATGTCTGGAAAGTGAATAAGAAAATTAAGCAAGAGAGAGAAATGGATATTTTAAAAAATACCAATAAGGTTTACATTTAGAAACATTATATTTCTTTAACAGTTTAAGTTCAAGTTGTAGAAGGATACTCATCCAAAATATATTGGCTTTCAGTATATGCCATAAAAAATAAAGTTAATGTTTCAGAATATTTCTTTCTAGATGTATAAACATATACTTTAAGAAGGTAACAATAAGATGAAGCCAAAATCTATCATTGGATATATCAGGAGAGACAACGCTCATTAGAAAAATTCTTCTTTGTAAGTGTATCCTCAAATACTCATCCTATATTAATGTAGTGAACATATCTTAACTTTTGGAACCTGTATTTTTAATTATATTTTATAAAACATCAAATATATCATCTACCAAAAACAAGAACAAAAACTATTTATCAAAGTTTGATAAAAATAAATGAGCAAGATCATTGTCATTCATGCAAGAAAGCAATTAACTTTGAAAATGTTTACTGACCACCAACTACAACGTTAACCTTGTGTGCATGGGTGGGGGTTAAAGTGCACAAGCCATGACATTTGACAGATTATCATTCAATATGGTATTACATATTTGATGTCAGTTATCAACTATTAATTTTACTATACATTGCTGGTTTAGTGACAGATTGGGATAGAGAGGAGTAAATATATATATATATATATATATATACCAGATACAATATTCAGAGATACTGAAAAAAACAGTAGATATGTAGATGTTATGCAAATGCAATATGCAAACTATATGAAGAACAAACTAAATTTATTCTTCATGTGAACAACACCTTGTGCTCTGACTTGTTGGAGTCTCAGTCAGACTGATATTGTTAATTCACTGACATATCTTAAAACACAAATACCTTTGTAACTCTATTGGTTTTTGTCTACAACAGACTTGTACATTTCACAGAATTATAGTCAATATTTCCTATTCAATACAGGGTTGGTCCAATGAACTGAACCCATGCACATTTGGTTAAAGATAATTTAAACTATATTGTATTTCCATGTGATTAGCTAATGTAAGACACCACATTCAATCACCCTATATAGAAAACAATACAACAATGAAGGGTGAGAAGCAGAAAAAGCCAAATCACTTACTGTATAACTTACTAAAGGCAAGATAAAACTCATTGATATCCAATTTGCCATCGTGATTTGTGTCATCATAAAGCAACATGTCTGCCAGTATGCAAACAGTGGACAGGTGGCCAAGATGATCTCGTTCACCAGCTTGCCACAATTCTTCAGCTTCTAAATATCCATTATTGTTTTGATCATAGTGAGAGAACATGATGCTGACAAGGTACTCATTTCCTGTTTGTTGACAAAATCATACAAATCATTCTATTTTATGAAAATTGCTTATCAAGAAATAAGTTAATATTTACTGAGACATCAATAAGTTCATCTAGTTTTATTTATAGTGGTTGGATATATTGCAGCATGTCTTCATTAATTTTTAGTTCTTTCAATATATACATGTACTTTTTTGTTGAAATATTAAATATTTGCTAAATTCACATCTTGTTCTCAACAATTAATGTCATTCAGTTTATAAGAAAAATAGATATATAAATCTTTTTGTTATTAATTCATAAAGTTGTACAATAAACATTTAGTGGGTACTTTTAACATTACAATTCACATCACTGTCCTTTTGAAATTGCTGTTAAGTGGCAATTAGCTCAAAGAACAAATTTTAACATACCCCTTCCCGATTTTTTGTTATCCATTAGTTCATCATTGTTAAATAATAAAATATTTTCCTTCATGAAGTCGTATTCCTGTTGGACACATTCTCTAACTGTTGTTTCAGGCTCTTTGGTTGTAGTGGAGACTTTAAGTTCTGGTTTCGGTAAATTAGTCCATAGAACAGGGGTGTCTGTCCTGTTCATCTGAGATGTGGTATATCTGTGCTCTTCTGTTGTTGTTTCCTGTGATCCTAGTCAGTGAGTGAAAGAAAGAAAAAAAACACCAGATCTTTCATTAAAGATTAATGAGAACATAACAAATAGGGTATGTGATACTGGTCATGGCAGATATTTGAATAATATCTAAAAACACTAAAAATGAAGGTGGTATTTTATCGCAAACTTATAATCTGTATTTTCAAAGTAAAAATGAAATGTCACTTAAACCAAGTTTACTCTTGTAAACTTCTAATGAACTCACATTTAAATACCTATAGAAAACTTTAAAAAATTCTGGTTGACATTAATTATATTTCTGTATATATAAAAAAGCTATTGGTTTTTCAAATTACATTTTATGCACTTCATAATTAAAGAAAATTTTAGATTCTAGAAAATAGAAGTATGATTGTACTTGTTTAGTGATATCTTTTAGGTTTTGTTCTTAACATTTTTTCACTGCTTCAACTATTTGAGTAATTATAGAAACATGCATTTTTATTACCTAAATAGATACATATACTTTCCCAAGATGGTATTTAATGCTAGAAGTTATAAGACTGTATTTTAGTTTACACAAATAATTTAAAAAGTAAGTTTGTATATTTTCTGACTTTTGTTCATTAGAAAAATTTTAATAAAATCTATTGCTTTTTGCTTTATAAAATGGCTGAAAGGTGGCCTAATGTCATTTGTGTACACTACTTTATTTAACTTGTACACAGTGCACAATATTATGTAATTATGCATTATAAATTAAAAACTGTTTAGTTTGAAGACATCAACAGTTTAAAATTAGATATATTATGAAAATTCATTATTAAGGCAGTAAACCACGTTTGTTTGTTTGTAGTTAAGCACAAAGCTACACAATAGGCTATCTGTGCTCTGCCCACCATGGGTATTGAAACCCGGTTTCTAGCATTGTAAGTCCACAGACATACCGCTGTGCCACTGGGGGACCCTACCTTATGAACTTCAAGTTATGTTTCAACAATAAAATGTTCTCAAAGAGAACATTACATACCTGATCCTTTTCAATAATATTTTTTTATGTGTATTTCAAGAACTTCTTACATTTATATTTCTTAAATAAATAGTTTAAGAAGTGTTGGTGATCTTGCAGAATGAAATTTTCTCAAGTGGATGTTTGTATAATGGCATGCTATACTACATATTACATAGCCCTCTTGTTAACATACAATTTTTCAAAATTTTCATACCTGCGAGTGTATGTGATTGCAACTCAGAATGTGGGCCACAGAATTCACTAAGTTCCATTTGTCCTAGATACCTATCGTTATGGGATCACATATGGTTTCTAGTGGGAAGATTGTATTTTCTATATACAAGTGAGAAATGATCTTTGTGGAAGGTCAGGATGTAACCTCCCATATTTTTCAATGGGAACGACTAACAGTCATGTGGGTAGGACACACAAACATCCCAAAAAAAATGATATTATTTTTTCATTTGATAATTATGCAAGATTCTAAAAAATCTAACAGTTCTTACACATAGACCACCAGTAAAAGTGTATCTCTTGTGCACTTGTCTTGCCTTTGATTGTTTTTATGTATTGAATAAGAATTGTTTCATTTTGTTACACATTGCATCCAGTCTCTTCCACTTTCCAAACTCAGCTAAGATAAAAAAAATTATGATTGGTTCCATAATACATATTCTGTCACACCTCCTGTTGTCACACCATCTGAGAGTAGCCAATAGAGACTGGAAGTTCCAGTTGTAGAAGCCTGAGCTGTTTCACTGGGAGATGAGACAGTAGGCACCAACTTGTGAAGTTAGTGATCCATGGGGCAGTCATTAATCTCCATGATGAGGGGTATACTGCCAGGGTGACCACGAGTCACAGAGAAAGCTGGGGTTTTGGGGACATCATGGGTGAGATGCCATAGGTATCTCACCATTCTGTCACCTAAGGACATGTATTTGATGCTTGTTTGAATGTAGGGGTCTCTGATTATGCACATAACACTGTATTCTTAAATTTAGGAAATCTCAGACTTGTGTTGTTCAAAAATCTCTGGGAGAAATATTTATGCCACCCTCACAATTCTCTGTGGTCAATGCTAATCAGATTTCTTCCTCTACATTTAAGGGTACATCCAAGAAAGATGTCTGGACAGCTTCTTTACATATTTTAGATAGGCAGTACAATGTCTGATGCTAAATCTGTATGGTTCAGTCCTTGAATTAATCAAACATTTGGATAAAAAGGAAAATGCCAAAAATACTTATCAAGATAGCTCTGGTGATTTGACAAGATGCTGAACATGTCCTACCTCTTGACTGTTCAGCTGGGATTCATTGCCAGACAAACGGTTAGGACAGTCACTGATTGTAAGATCAGAGATTGAAAATAAGTGGCAGTCCAAGCTATTAATTTGTGTTTCTCTATGAAATGTATGCACTGCAATATGTGATTGCCATTTGCCTATCACAAAGTTAGGGTAGTTTGTTAATTGCAAGGTTAATGGGACTAAAAGGGCATTATGACTTACTTTTCAAGCTATCAAGCAGAGTTTCATTATGGGGTATCTACCAGATTTTGGGTGATAGATGATTGATTATTACATAGTTAGAAGACCTGATATCAGAAGATGTAATGCCTAGGACGTCAACAGTTTGTTCAATGGAGGATGATTGCTAAGAGTTCCAAAACTAGAGTGAAAGTGTATTGTGACGCTTACTTTCTGAGCTATCAAGCAATTTCCTGATTCAAAATGTCATCTGACATTTTGCATGAATCATTCACCCTATTTAACTCAGTAGCAGTGGAAGTTATATGAAGCAAACTGTGTGATGCTTCCTAGACTCTCTCCAGTACACTTAAAGATGTATGTATAACTCCTGTATTGAGGGAATTGTGTTCTTTTCCAGCACAGAATATGAATCTAAGTGGAATAGTCTTTATTTCATTATATATATGCTTGTACTTATTTTTGTGTGACACCAACTGAAGTGATGGATCAACTTTAGTATGGCAATACAATATCTTTATAGTTCAGCTACTAGTGTTGGCAGTCATATAGGACAGTAAATGTATATCACTGTAGAATATTATATTTAGCACGGGTTGGTCGAAATGTTTATTGATATATGCTGTATTGACAACATGAATATCAATCCTGGCTGCAAGTAGTTTAGCTGAAAAATTTTAGTTCGGTTAAATTCTGCTGCTAATTATTTATTTTATGATGTTCACAAAATGAGTTCAGTTTAATATTTCATGAGTGGCAGCATGTTATGGTGCTATAAGTATTGAGATGTAGTGTGTGAAGGTAACTTGTGGTGGTTGTCATGTAAATTTGGTATAGGACAGAGGCAATCTTTCTTGATGTAATGTTGAAATAGGTGTATATGACAATATACATTTATGAACAAACATATATGTGTATGTGTGGTTTGCACATATGTATGCAATGTTACACAAAATCATTCATGAGTTTTTAACAGATTACTCATTTACACTGATAACGGAACTGTCAAGCAGCACATGAATGTAAACTATAGGATTTGATTTGGATATCAAGAGCAAGATGTTAAGTGAACTATTATTTCTGATCTGTAGAGTATTATTTAAAGATAAAGTGCAGCTGATACTTTCATTAATGCTTGTGAGAGAATTATTAAGTTTTGACACTGAAATAGCCAGTAGGTAGTGGATTTTCATTGAAGAGAAGAGTAACAAATAGACTCACACTACATTTGTGAGAAAATACGGTTTGAGCTGGTACTTTTTATAGCAGTAGGGAAAGATGTTTCATTTGGATTGCGATAGATTATACTTGTGAAGAAGTTTTGGGACAACATGGGATATTGGTCAATCTTGGCTGTTCCATCCTCTAAACTAAATTAAAACTATTAATAAATAAATTGAAACAATTTTAAAGCCAGCCCTTATCATTCACATACATATCAAGCGTTTTCTTAAACTCACTTAAATTTACTGCCTCCACAACATCTGAAGGCAACCCATTCCAAAAGCCAACCACCCTGTTAGAAAAATAAAACTGTATTAGCTGAAGGTGACTCCTACCCTGCCAAAATTTATATTTGGGTCCCCTAATCCTACTATTCTCACTGTTAATTATGAAAAAAGATGATGCATCAACACTATCAATTCCTTTTACAGTCTTAAACACCTCAATCAGATCCCCCTAACTCTTCTTTTTTCAAGAGAAAACAATTTGAGAGATGTTGGCCTCTCCACATATGACAACCCCTCCAATAACCCTTCTCTAAACCCTTTCCAACATTTCAATGTCTTTCCTGAGGTAAGGAGCCCAAGACTGAAGACAATACTCCAAATGTGGCCTAACCAGTGACCTATACAATGAAATTATAGCCTCTTTGGACTTGTATTCAATATGTCTGTAGATACAACCTAAAATCCTATTTGCCCTACCACTAGCAACAGCACACTGCTTGGATGGCTTTAGAGACTGATCAACCACTACAACAAGATCCTTTCCTTCATAACACTGTTAAGATTATTCCCATCCAAATTATACTTACAATTCAAATTATGATAACCCACATGCATCATCTTGCATTTATTATAATTAAAACCCATTTTCCATTTATTTGCCGAACTCACTAAATAATCTAAATCCTTTTGTGAATCAGCAGCATCCTCTGCACAGCTAGCAACACCCAAGAACTTAATATCATCGAAATTTAAGTAGTGTATTGACCATCCCTTTAGAACTTTAAGCAATCAGAAGTAATTTGACCTTACATTTTAAAAGTCTGTAAAACATTTGGCTAACTTGCTCAGTCATCTAACCAGTTTTTGTTGCTGATTGTTCATGCTTTAATTTGCTGTCATGCAGGGAGAATTCAGCAAGAACTACCTCTTTGGTGATATCTCCAACTACCCAGATGTCCCAAAAAACCCAGGGCCCAGCTTCACCTTTACCTCAGCAGAGATCATGAAAGAAAAAGCATTGCTAGCTGACAATCAGATGAGTGGAATCTGACTAAGGCTACTACTGGGTTGATCTTGAAGTCTCTTGAGATACCAGAAACCTTTGAACCACCCTTGACATCTAGGCTGACAAAAATTGGATCAGCTAGGACATTCTGAATGCTTAACCTACCAAAGAAGCCTAGTCTGCCCTTAACTGAACTCATGGCACCAATGCCATAACTGATTCCAATACCCATTAAAGTAGAGACAAAGGAAAGATTAGAACAATGCCACAAGACATTGGAGAGCTTCGTTGGAGGATGTACAGTAATGAAAAATAACCATCATCAGATTTTATGGGGTCATTACACTAACAAACATAAGAAGACTTTCCCATGGCTGATGACCATTTAATTCCTGGAAAACTCCAACTCCAGTGAGTCAGGTCACAATTACACCAGCAAGTAGATCATTGACCATGCTCCCATTATATCCAAACAAGCCTGATCATGTTAGCCTGTCAGTGCTTAGCTAGAACTCCCAATAATCCTGATGACCATCTGTTAGATACACATGACTATATATTTTAAGTTTAATACAAGAGTATTATTTACGTTGTATAGTGTAAACGTTAGAATAAGTTATTTTTAGAAGTGATAGTTATGGCAAGTTTGCTCAAATAACTGTTTATGAATCATTTGTTGTGTAGTTCAATTGTTGTGAATTGACGTCATGTTACTCGAACCTTCAGAGTTTTTCTCTTTGCTTTAAGTGAGCATTGTTACATCATACAATCTCCTAGTTTGTAGAAAGTTCTAAGCCTCAGTCGGAATATGTATATATATACGCAACTAAGTTAGTGCAAGTAAGTAAGTTAGTGAAATTAAAAGTGAAAAAAGTGAAGTTAGACTGGGTGATTGTGAGTTTAGCCATAAAGTGTGTATAGTGGTGATTTTTTAAAAGTAATAATCGCAGATTGTATTGTAATAACAAAGCAGAGAAGAAGAATTTGTCTTGTCAAATTGGGTTGTGAAGTAACTGAACCAGCCTGTGTGGGCTTTTGTTGTAAGAGAGAAATATTTAAAGCTCTAGATACAACAGTATTTAACTGGTGTAACATAAGTGAATATATCACTGATTACATTCTGATAACAGTGTAGAGGAGAATAATTTGTCTTGTCAAAGACTATTCTAAGGTAATTAAAGCCACCACCTATGTGGACCTCGACGAAAAATAGACAATTATTTGAAGCTCTCGATACAATTGTGATAACCACCAGTGAAACAAAATTTTCTACATACCTTTATTTTGAATATAATATTTTAAAACAAGAGGATTGTGTGCTTCTGTTTATTGTTGAAATATATTACCAACAAGTCACAGACGCCTGCTGTAAATAATTGTGACTCTATATAAACCTGACACCATCACTTCGAAACCTACACCTCTTGTGGTACTGTCTGGACCAAGCTATTTACCAGATGGAGGCTTTAACACTATACAACAGAAAAGAGGATAAATTGCAATGAACCACCAACACAGCTGGCAAGGGAGATGCAGCAACTATTACTGAGCTGATCCAATCCCAGAAGGCCCTGGCAAAAGCCAAAGAGATATCTGTCAGACATCTGCAACCAGAAGGTAATCCACTGATACACTGGACAATCTGCTGTCTAGACTTAAGTGAAGGTTAAGTTTGTTTCTTTGTAATTAAGCACAAAGCTACACAATGGGCTATCTGTGCTCTGCCCAACACGGGTATCGAAACCCGGATTCTAGCGTTGTAATTCGCAAACATACCGCTGTGCCACTGGAGGGTGTGAAGGTTAAGGTTTTCTAACTTCGAATTGCCTGGTAAACATATGTACGGGTATATCTGTGAATAACTTTCCATCTGTTGTATATATTTCTGTGCACAGAAAGAATTACTAGTCACTCAAAGTTTGTTTATTCTTATTTTGTATCATGATATGCAGGATCATTTGTACATATGTAAACATGCTTATGTACTCCATGATGTGATACTAAAAGGTTTGATTTAAGTCTGCATTTTGTAAAAGTGCTTCTGACATTGTATCATTTCTTTTTGCTGAAGGATGCTTTTCTGTATAAGGACCATTACATACTTTAAGTTTCAGGATTTTAGTTAAAGGTTTTATTTTTAACTATTGTAATGACACCATTAAATTCGTTTTTTATTCCATTGAATGATTTATCATTATATTTCGTCATGTATTCCTGTGTTATTAAACTGAATGATACCTATATTTAATGTTATTTTGTGATATGAAATTATAACTTCTATCTGTGTTAACAGGCTCATCATTGCATTCTTGTAACTTTATTTTGGATTTATAAAATTCCATTTGTAGAGTTATATTCTTTGCTTTATTTGTCTGCTTATCCTTTAAGTGTTTTATAGGATTGAGAGTAAGTTACATCACTTTTCTTTACCAATGCACAAATTTATGTAATAGGATTTAAATCTTAAAGTTAGGGATGACCAAAATGCCCAGAGGGTAAAGTGGAAAGAACAGGTTTAATATGCAGATATCTTAAGTGTTTCCTACCCATGTGGTTAACAAATAATTTTTCAAGATTTTCATATATAGATTTATTTTAAGGATATAACACAGATCACAGGTCATTAAAAGCTGCTAATATCCTTTTGCCATATCTTCCAATTTTTCTGTGTCATTCACATGTGGTATCACATATACTTTTTAGTAGAAATATGTTTGTAAGGATAAACTTCCTCTGTAGAACTGGGCAATGATCTTTTCCAGTGGTAGGACAGGTGATGTCCTTAGGTTGGAACCACCCTTATTTTTCGATGGGAATGACCAACAGTCATGTAGGTCATGTTCTAATTACAATAGCATTATTGTTTCGTGTATATAATGCTGAATTTTCTCAGTATGTAATAGTTGTTACAGATAGACCTCCAGTAAATGGGCCATCTCTGGTGCACTCGTCGTCTTTCACTGTTTTTGTGCAATGAATAAAAATAATTTCATTTTGTTACACATTGTGTCTAATCCCTATCAATCTTCAAGCTCAGTCCAAGTCAAAGAATTCATATTTGCTCTATAATACATTTTCTATCTAATCTCCTGTTGTTTTGCGAATCTTATCGATTACAATTACGGGAAAATCGTTCTCCTGCGAATACTACAATGAATAATTTCTTAGTATGGAGTATCTAGATCAAATATTTCTTTAAACGTTTAATATCAAAATATTGTTACGTCTCCGTTCGTTCGTTAATTTTCCGTAAATTCGTTCCGACGAAACTTTAGCGACACAAGACCTTTCTTAAATAAAACTGGTTTATTCTTTCTGAATATAACTTTGCAATACACTTAATTTCAACAGTCGCGCTATAACAAACGCTATAATTCTCAATGAACGTCTCACGTGCTCGACTCAACAATACTCCGTTCAATTATCCATTGTTCTCCCGTCACGTTGTGACCGTCTTATATATACCAGATACCCCGAATCTAGTAGTCTCCCGACAATTCACGAAGGTTCGAGAAGGACGTGGCGTGATACTGGTCACGTGACCTCGCTGACGCAACAATATTTATTTATATAGTAGATGGTTTAAGAAAAATAACACAATTTCAAGAAGTTAAAATGAAAAATAAAGTATGTGCAAACCTAGCATCTTACTTTTCACTATTATGTGTATTTTTTTTTTTGCTAGAATTAGAAAACAGATCTTCAAATATTCCTGCTTAGATAAATTAAACCTTATAGTTAGTGTCAGAAACAATTAAGTATTTCTCTTTGGTGGTTAAACATAAGTTTAAGGGTTTAAGATGTTAAAAATCGGTTTTAACACCCGTGGTGGGCAAAGCACAGATAGCCCATTGTTTAGCTTTGCGCTTAACAACAAACAAAATTTTTTTTTCACTCTCCCGTTTTGTAACTTGATGAAATACGCGAGAGCGGCGTTGTTGCTTCACATACAATAAACGATGAACTCTTCTTAATCTTACAAAGCTGCGACTTAAAATTAATTTAAAATGCTTAAGGTCTACAAATTTATTCATTTGTTAAACCTCTATATTACTCAATTGCAAAGGTGTATATAATCTTATTTAGTTATTTACAAACATTCCAATTACCTCTTTTCTTCAAACACCCTCTTTTGTGATCGATTCGGATAATTTTATCTTCGAGACAAGCTGCTCGATGTAACTCACAATGACTGTTGTAGAAATTCCCGTCCGTGCCACACACGGGTTTATTGTGATGCTTGCAATACAGTCGACAAATACACACCGCTTGGCCTGCGTCGCTTACTTCACACTGTCGACCCACTCCACATGTCACAGCATCACAAGGATCTTTCAAAAAAACAACAACAAAAAACGGAAACCATTGCTGATAATATGAATTGCGTCAGAGCATAAGTAAATTCAATACGTTAGTACACCTACACTTTTATTAATATAGTATATTGCAGTAAAAGCAATCAATCAATATATTACACATGATATTTTATATTGAAAGAAATACAGTTTATTTCGATTGATAAGTAGAAATATTTAATGTCTCACTTTGTATTTTTCATTTTGAGGCTGGGTAATGAATATTTAAAGTATTTTATTTTGTAAAATAAAAGGCATAGCCATTTTACTTTTTGGGTTTGAAGTTAAGCACAAAGCCACACAATGGGCTATCTGTGCTCTGCCCATCACGGGTAGTGTAATATATAGTGCTTCGAACAATCAAGATGAAGCGCTCGTGACTTCTAACATCGCGTTGGGATAGTAAACAAAAACAAATACAGAGGGTTCAGGAAGTTCAAGGGATATTGATCTTATATTCATGATCATAATACTAATAGTATGTTTTTGTTACTTACTTTACACTTATTATACATACCCTATCAAATATTAAGCACATTTTCCAAATTTAACAAAATATAGATTAATAACATTATCTAGCTTCTAGCTACTGTCATTTAAAGAAAGCATCGCAATAAAATATTAATTCAACTACATTTGGTATTCTCATCATGAACGGTGCTACATAGGTTAAATGACCAGGTCAGAGATCCTTAATTTTCAGTTACAGCTATCTCTAATTTAGAACTCTTGACCAGAAGGATGGCAAATGGTTAGCAGCATACGCCGCCTGTTATGTCGCTATTCTTAACCAAATAGCGGATTTAATGCCATAATTTTAACAGTTCCACAGCCTGGACGGTGTTCAGCGCTATATCACGGATTGAACCTTGGATCTTCCAATTTGTAGCTCAGCACGCTAACCACTGGACTACGCTTGGCTCGGACAATCAGATGTAAAAATGCAAATCTCTCAACATCATGATGTGATGAAACACGCTTAAAATAAGTTATTATTATTATTTTTATTTGTCCTACATCTCTTCATCATGAATATGTAATAATATAATTCAAACGAACTTTAGTCAGTAATACGTTTTACTGTCAGTTTATTGTAAATGTTATGGGATGTTATGGGAAATAGTCATGCTAACAAAGGCCTCATGCATTATACAAGAGTACTGAATCGTTCTTCGACAAATTCCGTGCCAAAATTCTTAATTGGCAAACTGAGAGTTCGTGCTTTAAACACTACCAGAATTTTGGTCTTTCGTTATAGCGTGTGAATTACCAGCAAGTTTATTCTGTTAAATGTTAATAAAGGGCGAAACTAAAAGGCGTTCATGGTGTGCTTTTACTGCGATCCATTTAGTTCAGAATTTAACATTCGTGACTATGTTGCAAACACAAAAAAAGTGGTTAAACATAAATTATCTCTTCTCAACAGAAGCCTACTAATGAATTAGGTTATAATGAAGTCTCTCATGACGTTTCATGGTGGTAATTAGACTACGTTTCTTTAAGCTGTAACACAATCAAGATAAGACGAACGTTCTTAAACAAAATGACACTTATGAAGATGCTATAAAATACGCAGAATTAACAAACGTTAACGAGAGGCCAACAATGCTAGGGGAAACTATAGCCTGAGAAACAAAACAAACGTGAAGTCCACGTTTTCTACTCTTGTTGGTAATTAGTGTGCAATTATATAGCACTATTTATTGCCCTTAGAATCAACTCTACTACACCAGGAAGATGGAAAACAATCAGTAAATATAATTATGTAATCAAATGTGTTTATGTAAGAAGCTATGTGAAGCAGGTCGAGGATATAGATTAGAAAAATTTACGCATAGAAAATATGGGCAGAGCAAATAAGTGACGTGTAATTTAGAGTTTCCATCAAAAAACGTATTCAGGTTAACTTGTAATATCTCCTCTGTTTCTGAACATAATAATTAAATGATATATCTGTTAGAATTAAAATGTTTAAAAATTGCTTTTACTTTTTATATCACATTTTCAAGTTTGTTGTGTTTATATAGCTGTTATATTCAAAATAGGTGTTTGTTGAGAGACGATTTAGCATAACACTATATAAAATAGAACAACCAAAATAAAGCTGAATGTTTGAATCATATAAATGTATTTGGTAAAGATTTCAGGTGTTTGTGCTAGTTTTTAAGTATGATTAATGTTTATTACAAAACTATTAGGTCGTCAAGAAATTAATGTCGCGTTTTGGTACACATTTACCCCCCCCCCCAAAAAAGCGTACATCACGTATAATAGTTAAATGAACCGCCTAAATATCATGTTAGTGTAGCCTATATAACATGTAAAGTTTAGTACACTCTAATCCCCTATAGTGATGGCACACGACGAGACACATATTTGGC